CAAGAATTGGCCCTAGGGGCATGCCTTGCACATAAAATCTCATTTGAAGAGAAACTTGAGTCCTTGTAATATGCTGCGCCATCTCAGGACTTCACTCACCCATTGTCCTTGTACCAACACATGCACCTCACATGCTGCTCTCAACCCAGTGACTCCTATGGCACAGAATCCAGAACCAGTCTTCCCCACTTCCTAGATTCCATTTCCCTGGAAACATCCATGGCGCAAGCACACTGCTTCTGATGTTTTTGCTCAAAATCAAGTTCTTCAGAATGACGTTCTATGTCAGCACTCTTTCTGCACACTTGACTTCATTCCAACCCCACAGAATCAGGAGGAACCACTTCTGGAAAGCACGTGCACACTTATTAGTGATGGTGTGACAATAGTGTTAAAATTGCTTTAACTGGCATTCACCGTGCTTATCAGTTTTAAAAAGACACAGTGATGTGAAGTACATTCACACCATTGAGTAATTATTATCATCAACCAGATCCAGAAATTCTCACTTTCCCACACTGACTTGGTGCTCATTAAATGATAACTCCTCATTTCCTGCCCCCTACTCCCAGAATCTCCATTCTGTGCTCTGTCCCCATGCCATTGACCACTCCAGGTTTCAGAGAGGTGGATGCACACAGCTGTTGTGGTTCTGAGAGTGACATATTTCTCTTGACATTGTATCTCCAAGGCTCATCCATGTCTTGCCTCTGTCCAATTTCTCTTCTTTTTAAGGGTGAATTATATTTTCTGGTGAGGATGGAACACATCTTGTCTACTGAATTTCTTATTCAGTTTTTCTGGTTTCCACAGAAATTCAGTAGCTGATAAAGAGGTTTTGTTTTGTTTTGTTTTGTTCCTGTTTTCCTGATCAGGAATGAGGGAACATGACACAGGGAAAGCAGATGACAAACTTAGGTGAATGAGATCAACATGTGATCACCTTAAATGGGCATGAAGCACCTGTGAGCACAGGTGATGCAGAGTTAGGACTAATAGTAATAATTTCCATTGTGTGCCCATGGTCTTCAGTCATGATCTCCCATCCATCATGAAAGCTGCAGTATGAAGAGAAAGAAGAGGTGGAGACACAGCCTGTGTGACGGGGCAGAGCTTATGGTTTTCTGGCTCTGATGAGGCCTAGGTCAACCATAAGGTCCCTGTTGTCTTACTCAGTGTTCCTGGGACAAGGTCACAATTCCCTCTCTGGCACTGTGGCTCTCAGTAGATAAGAAGTGGTGGTAGAAAGAAGGCTCAGGAGAATTCAAGAAGTGAAGGCAACATGAGTGTTACAGAGGCATCTCAAGTTTATTTTCAGTCTATGGATGCAGGCCTGTGATGCAGGAGAAGCCTGTGAGCCATTGATGCTGGATAAAAAAGCTCTTGTATTAGCTTTTTGTCTCTACATTTTCCAAAACTATTGATTTCAAGTTAGTTATAAATATGGGCTCAACATATAAGAGAGTTTTTTCAAAGAGTTCATTTTCTCTAACCCAGACACCTAGAACCATGATTATACGAGTAACTACAAAGCATGGACAGCTGGAGCCCCTTGATCCTTGATGTGTGAGTGCTGTATTTGTAACCATGTCATTCTGTGCTAACTCTCCCCTTAAGGCATTGAGGTACAGCTGAGAACTCTCATGAATTACACTAGAAGCAAGCATATATATATTTATGCAGAAGAGAAAAAAAAGCAGTCTCTACACCTCTCTATGGTGCAGTGTCATAGAAGAGAAGATGTGGGAAGTCATGACTGACCCATGTTCTCAAAATTCTGGTACCAATGGTTCATTGTGCTCAATGGCAGCTGAGTGCGAAGAGGCTCGTCCATAGGTTTGCTCTGAGAAAAGGTCACTGTGGTCCTTATAGGAACCCTTTCCATCTCCAGCCTCCCAGAAGAGCCTGGGCCCTGTAGCCCGAGGTCTTGGGATCCTGCATTACATGGAAAATTCTTTATAATCAAGATACATTAACTTGCAGACATAGCATTTGAAAATATGTTCTGTAGTCTATGCTTGTCCTTCAATTGTCTTATAGTACGTTCATGGGTCAAATGATGTAAATGTTACCTAAAGTTAATCCATCAATGTCTTATATCAATAGTTGGTCTAAAAATTCACCAGGAAGCTCACTCTCACAGATTCTATACCTGCATGTCCCTGACATTTTGATGAAAACTATTGTGATCCTGTGATTGCAAAGAGGAGTAGCAATGCTGGTTCACAAACATTGCCAGTCACCTGCAGAAAGCAGCTCACTGTCTGACAGGTGCTTCACTGAGACCAAACAGGTCTTTCTCCAGAGTAAGGCCCCACAGAGTGCCCCCCTCAGTGACTGTAACAATAAATACCAGACAGGACAACTGGTCACCATTGTTCCAATTCCATGTGTCTTTCACTTTTCTATTAACAATGATGGACTTTTTTTCAACAAATGATGTTAAATATGAAACATACCATTAAACATATCTGCCATTGCCACATCTTATAGCCATAGTTACCTGTGCAGTCATGCAGACATGAGGCTTTGTTCTAAACAAGAGACCATGTACCCAACAGTGTTCCCATTGGGTCCTTAGGGGACACAAATATCTGAATTGACTAGGTACATTGTCTGTGCTGTAATGTTGTTACACTTTATGTTGCTCACATGTGTGTGCCCTGACTGTCATGCAAAACAACCTACTGCACTGTCAGTCATGTGAAACCACAGCCCCTATGGTGACAGTGATGCCTAAACTGACCACTTCTGTGAAACCACCCTGTGACTCTCACACAGTATAAAATTTCCAAATACCTACTTCTTAGGCTTTATTCTGCCCTTTGCTGCACAGGACTGTAAAACTTTTTGTGATGTCAGCCTCGATGTAAATATAACCTGATATACAGGATAGTCTTCCTGAACTTCCATGTCCTTTGCTTTAATTAATCTTGATGTTCCTTTTACCTGCACTCTAGTCTCTAAATTATACAGAGGATCAGAAATCCTGATTTTTGACATTGATAGTTGTCAAATTATGGCTATCTTCTTGCTATTGTGTTCTAAACTTTTGTTATATCTTCTGTGTTAATTATACTCTAAAATGTATGGTTTAATTATATTCCACCATTTTGTACTTTTCTGTGGATTTTCTTGAATAAATCTTTCAAATCTGAAACTAATTAAACATTTGGGTGAAAAGCAATATATTGACTTTCTCAATCTGTACTTTCTGGGTTAGTCCTAGCCACACTGGGACACATTCACAGTCTCCTTTTGCCATAGAGTGTGGCTTGACCTGCCCACATTGAGCCATGGTGACTGCTCCCCAAGGGCATTAATCCCATTGATAGCTGCAGTCTGTGTCTGGCAGACAAGATGATTGTTAATGGCACTTGGCTGCCCCTGGGTGCATAAAAACATATGGAGCCTAAGCCTATCACTGCCTCGCACAAGATTCCTATGTCCTTTCACCACAGGGCCCCAGGTGGCCACTTCCACAGGGTTACGAGGGAGTCTCCTTGCAGGCTCTTGTCTTCTGGGAATTTCTTCTGATGGACTATGACAACCCTTACTCATTCTGCACCTTATATGGCTAGTTATTTCTGTAATCTTGGGCTAAATATGGCCATCTCTATTATAACCTGGTTTCCACTACCATATTTCTGACCTATGATCAGTGCAACGGGCAACACCCATTTGTCCCTCAAATGGGAGCACAGTGGTTATTCATGTCAGTCAGGGAAAAGAGCCCATGATTATACTGACTTAACTCATTTACTCTTACATTATACCCCAGTATTTTCCAATGTTCACAGTGTGGTGGTCTTCAACACAGGATCCTGTCCATCCATCTAAAATTGACGCCTGGAACAGAAACAGAATCTTGGTGGTCATTTGAGAGAAGATCAAGGATGAGTAGTCATGTGACAACAAGAACCAACAAAACCCAGTTTTTTCTATTGTCAGTCAAGGGGCCAGAGAAGCTCCATCACCAAAAATATGAGGAACAGCCTCTATCACTCATTAGGTTGTACCTCCTAATGTAAATTATTCTCATTTTAATACAGAGCTGTTCTGGACAAAGCTTCTCCTAGGAAACTGTGAAATGTTCTGGCCTAAGATTTTATGGATATTTTAGTTTAAAATTGCATTATGTTCTTCACTCATAGATGGTTTGTCATGGTAAATATTCAGCATATAATTGTCTCTAACAGGCATTCCTGAACACCATTATGGGGGAATTTCAGTGTTAAAATTCCAGATGAATTCCACTGTTCAGGCTGCTGGAGTGCAAATTGTAGAAACATCCTCAGTCATGCCCAACTGTGATTAGCTACTACACACACTGATCAAGGCATCACAGGCAGGAATTCAGACACTACTCCTCATGACTCAAGCTATCTTTCAAAGGTGGTCTTCTCTAGAATCAGTCAGGGAAGAGCTGTGGTGATATTGCATATGGGGACTCCATGTCCTCTAATTCCAGCAACCTGACAGGCATTGAATTCTGTTTTAATTCCAGGGACAGACGAGAGCATCTGTTCAGTTTTCATGGTCTGAGAAATGTCACAGGTGCCCCCTCCAAAGAGCTCTGAAATAGCCTCCATTTGAACCAAACTGTGGATTTGTGCTCAATTTATCAAGCATGAGTCAGTTATGTGTGCCACCACTTCACTTAAGTGACTGTATGTTTATGTTGTATGTTTTTATGTGATTATAATGTATCATCACATTGAGGATCTGTATGAAGCAAACGTCCTTTTAACAAACGTACAGACTAATCTATTGATTGTATAAATCTCTATCATTTCGGGGAATGGATACCATAAAAATTCCCCCATGAAAGGAAATTACCATTGGTTAGCATCCAAAATCAAAATTTAAATTAAAAAAAAAAAAAAAACTTGTTTGTTAAGATCAATCACTGTAGGTCCTGAGCTCCCCCTGGTATCTTCAGCTCTCCTTGCAGCCCAACACTCCTGTATTCAGCAAGGAGGTTTCTGTCTGGGCTCATGTTAACTTTCCTTCACTGTGTCACTTGCACAGTAATACACAGCTGTGTCCTCAGCTCTCAGGCTGTTCATTTGCAGGTACAGTGTGTTCTTAGCAATATCTCTGGAGATGGTGAATCGACCTTTCACAGAATCTGCATAGTATTGCTTACTGCCATCATACCACATAACTGCCACCCACTCCAGCTTCTTCCCAGGAGCCTGACGGACCCAGTTCTGTCCGTAGTCACTGAGGCTGAATCCAGAGACTACACAGGAGAGTCTCAAGGACCCTCCAGGTTGCACCAAGCCTCCCCCAGACTCCACCAGTTGCACTTCACACTGGACACCTGCAAACACAAAGAGATCAGGTCAGGAAAGTAACATATATCCACCATTTTCTCATATCATCACACATTCTCCATAAATTACCTTGTAAAATAGCAACAAGGAAAATCCAGCTGAACCTGAACTCCATGGTGTGTAGTCCGTGTTCTGTCCTGAACAAGGACTGGGGAATCTCGTTCTGGGCTCCTCTTCAGGGCTGTGCTGCTTTTCATGAGCAGAATGGCCTTATTTGCATATATATATATATATATATATATATATATATATATATATATATATATATATATATATATACTATATAGGGAAACATGTGGTTGGATGGTGACATGAAGGACATGGCCCCAGTGTGTGACTTGTCCAAAAAAAGTATCTCTGAAAAGAATTACTCCCCAGCCATGGCCAGTTTGGCTCAGTTGGTTGAAATATCCTCCTGTACCAAAAGACACAGGTTCAACCCCAGGCCTGGGTTTGTATTGGAAGCAACTAATCTCTCCCTCTTTCTTTCCTTTCCTTATTTCTTAAAACAATGAAGAGAATGTCCTGCTGTGAAGATAATAAAATAACAATATGAAAAATTAAAAAAAAAATACTCCTTTGTTTGGTCCTGTGCCCCATTGGAGACCCAACTTCCCCAGGAGACAAGAACCTTACCTATGGTAGTAAATTAGAGTGAACTTTCATAAAAGGGAGATATTTAAAATGAAAGATGCTATTGAAAGTTACAAGTAATACACACACCAAGATAAGTCACCTCTCATAATCAGAGGGAGAATTAAAAGTGCATGAGGTTTGCAGGACTTACTATAAAAATTTGCATTGCTGAAGGATATTTCCTACTCCTCCCAGAGATTTTAGCTTTGTGCATGATAAATTTTCCATTTGTGTGTGTTTGAAGGCAGCCAGGAAATCCACACCAAGCTGTGTGTTTGTCCCTCTGTCTCTGTGTGGTGTCACCTTTGCTTGGTGATATGAGCATGATGTCACATCAATGACCATTCCCATGGAGGATATTTGTCCTCAGGAATTGGGCTCATACACCTCTGGTGTCTGCTGTCCAGTATGCACATACCCTGCTGCTGACTGATTTGAACATGGCACTGTGTGAGGCTGGGCTGGAAAGTATGTGGATAGATTCAGACGATGAAGGGTCAGAGGTGTGACGAGTCATTGGAATTGGGCACAAGAGTGTATGAAATACACTCTGCCTTTTGACCATGTCAGAATATTTTCTTTCTTTTCAACAGACATTTCTAACACAGAAACATCAGAACTGAGCATAGATATAGAAATCCTGAGAGGTTCCTTGAGGGAAATAGTTACAGGAAGAGGAGAGCAGACAGGAAATTGGCTCTAACCTCCCTCTGCATATGTTCCTGGAATGTCCTTGTGGTCAGGGACACCTAGTGCCCCCCCAATGGTCATAGACTTAGCCATGTCCAAGAGGCCTCATCTTGTAACAGTGAGCATCTGGGCCTGTGCCATATCCACTGACCCCCAGTGCTCCCCTACCTTAATCTAGGGCTGAGCTCTTCAGAAGTCAATTTCAGGAATACCTTCCCTCCCTCTTTCATCCCTTTTCATGCCTGTGTGTGATCTTTGGGAATGCTGCCACTGTGTCCATACATGATGGGCATCCATTGGAGTAGGAGCATGACTCACTGGGGTATCTGTGTGCAACACTAGAGAGAAAAACCTGCTTGCACAAATGGTGGAATTAACCAGGACTGAGGTCACACACATCCCATGTTCTTGCTTAATTAGATTGTGATTTTCCTTGTTGTTTAAGAAAGCTCAAGTTCTCTTTCCTTGCTTTCCTATGAAATAGCCACACATATTTCCTAGAGCCATGAAGACCTTCTGTTGATAGTGTGTGGAAACACAAGTGAATTGTGTAATTTGGTTTGCATCTTAACATCTTTCCTGAATTTACTTTCTAATTCTCTTAGTTTTCTTGTGTTGTTTTTATGGTTTTCTCTCCAAAATATTATGTAACATGTGTAGAGGAGAAAGGGACATTTTAACCTGTTCCTGGCTGTTAGATATTTTTTATTTATTTATTTTGCCTAACTATTTTTACAAGGACTTCCAGTCCGATTGAATAGAAGCAGTCTCATTGGGCACCCTTTCCTTAGTTCTGATCTTTGAAGAAAAACTTTGAATTTTTTTCTCTACAGAATTGTGTTAAATGACTTCTTTTCAGATATGGCCTTTACTAGGTTCAGATACATCACTTCTGTACAAATTTTTGAAAATTTTCATCATGAAAGGAGTTTAATATTTTCAATTACGATTTATTATTTATTTATTCATATGATGATATAACTTTATCTTTAATTCTATGAATGTGGTGTATTCTGTTTACTAATTTATAAACTTTTAACCATTTAATCTAGAATGCAAACTTGTATTATAGCATGATATCCCACTTGATCATAGTAAAAGACCCCTCCAAAGTTCTGCTCAGTGTCTCAATATGCTGTTCAGGATTTTTGCATTTATGTCCATCTATGATATAACTAGTCAACTTTTGTGATATTTGACTTCAGTGTGAGTGCAATGATCACCTCAATAAAAGAGTTTGAAAGGGATTCCTCTTGTAATTCTTGGAAGCACTTGAGGACTTATTAAAAAGATGCTATTTGTTCTTTGTAGTATTTTTGGATTTCATCAGTAAATCCATTTGGACATGGGCTTTTTTTTTTTGAGATATTTTGATTAGTACTCAATTTTTTTAAATAATCTATTTATTTATTTTTAGAGAGAGGAGAAAGGAGGGAGAAACAGAGGGAGAGAAACATCAATGTGTTGTTCCCTCTTGCACACCCTTACTGGGTCCTGGCCTGCAACCCAAGTATCCGGACTCAAATCAAACTGGTAACCCTTTGTTTCACAGGCTGACATTCAACCAATTGAGCCACACGCTCTAGTTCTATACTTCAATTATTTGTTATAAGTTGTACCAATCTAGCAACACTGGGGTCAACTTCCTAATTTGAGCAAGTAAAATAATAAGTGTTCTGGGAAATCTAACTGTTTGTTGATCTTCACTGTGGGCAGTTCATTGTAACTCCCATTTGCACACACATGAGCTAGGAGGTGACAACCTAAAAGGCATCCTAATTTTGTATCCCAGAGTTACACTTGAGCAGCAAAAACTAACAAAGGAGCAGACAGAAGTCCCTGCCCAGGAAAAGACCTACCTCTGTAAATTGAAGTAAAGGGTGGTCTCTACAGAATCTGAAACTAAGTCTCAGCAGTCAATTTATCTGTCTGCTATCCCACTGAAAGTAGGGCAGATATATGTGAAGAAAGTAAAAAAAAAAAAAAAAGTATTACACTCGATATTTGTGTGAATAGAGAAAAGCCAGTGGAAATGGGCAAGCCTTCTTACAACATATTTAACAATAACTCCTGTCAATGGTAACTTTCATCCAGGAAACCCAAAGAATCCAGGGATAATGCATGTAGGGTCAGTGTGGAAATTAGAGTTCTTTGCAGACTAAACATTTATTTTCATATAACATCCAAGAAAATAAAATAAAACCATGCTTTCTGATGTAGAATTCATAAAGTATCTTATTGCAGAGAATGCACTTCCATCACTTCGAACTTCAGGGAGCATGAGGAATAAGTTCCAGCTGTTGCTTTCTGAGTCCCATCATAATATGTGATGAAGGCACAGCTGTGCACAGCTCCCAGACCATGACTAAGCTTGGCGGTAAAACTATACTACATCCATTGTCAGAAAACGGAGATGACATCTGAAGGGAGCATTGGGCTCAAGAAATTCCCAATAACTGTTGAGCCCTCCTGAAATGCAAGGAGTTTTAGGCAAGTTCCTTCTGTTGTGGACAGACCTCCATCATGTGTTGATATTCAATTGAGACTTAGCCACCCCTCTGAATTTTCCCCCTCCATAGTGATAGCCTACCTTTTGTGCACATGAGTATGTTTCTACTAGTACAATAGAACTTTTCATGTTTAGGTATGTGAGTGGTAGTTACACAATCATAGGTCTAAAGAGATATTAGGGAAACTGTAATAGGAAGAGGGATCCCAGCAAACTGACAGGAAATAGTCCTAACCACCCTCTGCTCCTGTTCCTGGAACAAAACACATATGTTGGGGGTGGGATTCTCTGCTGTCCTGAGTGCCCATAGTGTCCTGAGTTTCCTTTGGTGTCCTGAGTACCCTGTGAAGCTAAGCCCTCTGGTCTTCTGCAGGGAGATTTGTGTCTGGTATCACACAGACTTGCCCTCATTTTATCTCTCCCACAGCAAAACATGGCCATGCTCTCAGCTCTCAGGTTGCTCAACGTGAAATAAACTTGGCTTTAGAAGTGTTCCAGGTATGCTGAGTCAGAATCTCAACTCTGGATTGTAGTTTGCGCTTCTGTCACACCATACTACACTGGCCTTTCTTTCCTCAAGTCTAGTAGGTCCATTGCACTCCATAGCTTGATAAAGAGAATCCAGAGACAGCATAGGTGAGGGAGAGGGTTTGTGATGGCTTCACCGATCCTGGGCCTGACTCCTGCAACTGCATCTAGAAAAGGACACCTGGGGACAAGATCCATCAGCTGCTGTCCGTCACATGCAGTTACCACCACCCTATAGGTCCATGTCTGACATAAGAGACGCTAAACCTGGAGGGTTGTCATCAGGCACAGGAGGAGACCCCACAGTCTCATCATCTTCTAGAGCACAGCTCTGCCTTCCTCAGAGACCTCAGCCCCGTGTGAGGAGAGAGCTGTGAGCCCCCACTGCCCAGGTGAGCATTTACATTGGAGTTGGAAGAGAAATTTGCATATGAGCCAGCTTTTCCAATATGTGTAGAGGTGCTGAGGTCAGGTATCTTTGTCATTCGGGGATCTCTGTGGGGGCATCTCTTCTCTTGAACTCAACATGCATGTCAGATATAGGGAATCCCCTTGTTTATCATACACATTAGTATTAGATCAAAGGAAAGCCTAACATTTTGAGCATAAAGAGAATTGGAGGACTAGATGAATCAGTGACACTTCTAAATTTTCAGATAGTTTTCAAACAGAATCATTTTGATTCGCGTTTTCACACACTTCCTGCACCCTCAAAATTGTAGTATATTCACAGCTTCCAAATATTTTCATCA